CACATGCACAATAAATGATTTACAGCTGAGGCAAAGTACAAGCGTTACAGGCATAGAAAATTTTAGAGCACGGAGAAGACCATGCGTTGCATGAGGCTGGAGATTAGGACATTGGGACATCTACAGCGTCCATAGTAGGGGTAGTTCTAGGGAAAGCCAGTTGTCGCGATCTAGGGCTGAGACGAACCAATGGACACTGTAGTTTAGATGCAGATCACGTTTGGCATTTGGGGTAGAGGGCTTTGTGGTTTAGGATTTTGGCTCCAGGCTCGCCGGGCCAGGCAGCTATGTTTCCTGCGAAGGCTGAGGCTTGAGTTGGCCGCTGCCTCAACGCGTTTGCTTTTTTTTTTATTGTTTACTTCCGTCGGGGTTAGGGCTGATTGCCAGCAAGCAGACTTGCTGGCTCCTTGACGTTAAAGCCTAGGCCATACAGAGCGACCTCGTTTAGGCGCGGTTGATCACGCCAGTCAGGCCCCTAGTGACTCATAATGCAGTTGAGTTGGGAGTTGCCGGGCGAATGTTCCATGAACTGGCTACCATGAGGCTGCTGTGCAATCAGAAGGTACTCTCCCCTCTGTATGTAGGTATATAGATAGTTAGATATGTACGCCTATACATATGTAAAGGGTAAGAGGGATGTTTTAAAGGATGAACGTGCATGGAATTATACTTCATACTGCATTCCTTCAGGAATGCAATCCAACGGCAAGGATAGCCGGTTAGTTGCCGGTGGTACTTCAGCATGGTGTAAGGGCGGTATGTGGTGTTTGGCAGAAGAGGACTTCCATCGCACACAGAAGTAGAAGGGCCTCCTGTTGCCGTTGACAGTTGCTGCTGGCGCTGCTGCTGACGGCCTACTGGCGTAACGTGGTAATCGAGGGCCAAAAGCGGAGCTGAGCACTGTATTTGAGGTTCGTTCCTTGCCTGGGCTTGCGTGCTTGTGTGTGCCGTCGCCGGTTGTTCAACTCGAAAGTGAAGCGATTTTGAAGCATTTCACTTTGTTGTGTGTAAGCCCAGGCTGCTTTCTGAGGGTCAAATAATTGTATAATAATTGCCTAAAATGTTACTATACGAAGCAGACGGGTGGTTGAACGCTCTTTCATGTGAGGTTGCCCTGCGCCAGTAGTTGCAGCAAGGCTCAGTGCAACTTATGGCAAGCCTTCTCCTCTTCACAGCAGCTCCAGGTGTGCCCCTGCCCGAGGTACACCTGAGGAGTGGACGGCATGCCAGCTCCATTTGAAAGTTCTTATCACAAGTACTTTGACTATCTTGACCCACCTGGCTGTCTAACATCACGGGGCCTGGCTGTCTAACATCACGGGGCTTCTTGACACTTGAATCACCAACAGCCAAACCCACACCTACAGTTGGGCAGCCTGCAGCAGCTCCGTGATAGGCTGTGAGGGCTCTACGCCCAGGAAAATGCGTTTTTAAAGGATATCTTCCCCAAACTCTTATTCAGAGATTCAGTACTTTCCGCATTCAAAGGTGATTGATCAGGATCTGCCTACCAGGGGTTGACTGCCAATCTCTGAGCGCCTCANTTTCCGCATTCAAAGGTGATTGATCAGGATCTGCCTACCAGGGGTTGACTGCCAATCTCTGAGCGCCTCATAGCAACGACGCGAGCACAGACTGCCCAGTCCAGTTGGCTCAAAACCAATTCATGAAGAGCGTTTCCGCCCTTACCGACCGTCCAGATATGAAGGGAGCAGCGACGGGGTAGCGGTTTACTAGCTCCTCACCTCTCTGGAGGTGTCGTTCCCCCTTCCCAGCGCAGCTGAAGAGCAACAGTAGCTATTAGGGACATCTTTACGGAAGGAAGAGGTGAAACAATGGTTGCTATATCTAAGCAGTGGAAGCATTAACTGATGCCCTTTCTTGGGGCCAGCCCTGAAATGAACCATTGATATAGAAGCTCCTCGTCCATCGTGCGACTTTTATTTACTCACGGGTGAAAATCTGAGGTTGGCCTGAATAATGGAGTACTCATGCGCGACAAAGAAAAGAGATGCCCGAAGAAGAACTTTTTGGTAAGGACCCAGCGTAGTGCCTATCTGTATGAAGGCCATGAATACCAACCATGAGCAGGACNAACTTTTTGGTAAGGACCCAGCGTAGTGCCTATCTGTATGAAGGCCATGAATACCAACCATGAGCAGGACAATAGATCGCAGCCGGCGTATCCGACACTCAGAATGCCCTGGTGAGTGAGGCCCGGAGAGGTGCAGATGCTTCTTTTGCAACAAACAATTTCACATATTTTCAGACTGCAAACGCGTGGAAAGACGTAAGGAACTGGAAAAAAAGGGATTTCTGCAACCTCACAAGAGGAACAAGAAAAGCAATCAGGTAGACGCCCTAGCTTCGACGCAAGGAGCGGCGCAGTGATGAAGACAAAAGAGGTGAGCTCCGTGCCAGCATATCCATGCCGAGTCAACGTTGCGCTTGTTTAAACCGGTGTTCATGCCCAGGCGTTCATGGCGATAAATGGAACCGACAGCGAAGTGGATCTGATGTCGGAAGTTACGGCGAAGAGGCACAATATATCCCTCTATTCGCTGAAGGAGCATTTGCGCCTATGTTTCGGCGGTCTCAGGCAAGACGTGAGTATCAGTTAAAATGTGGGCGTAAAGTTGGCTCTCGACCCAGAGTCAGAGGTTGGTTACCATGCGCCTTTGGTATTTGTGTTTGATTTGCTTTTGCTACTGCTGGACAGTTGCCGCCAGAGGTTGGGCAGAAGCAGCAAGTTTGCGCCGTTTTGCTGCCTCTCTTCTCAAGCCTCTCTCACTACGCGTGCATTTAATCCCTTCACAATATTGCTTCTCCAGTTCCTTAGCGGTTTCCAAACGTATACAATCTCAAATCGTGACACTTGCAAAAGAAGCAGGTTCACCCATTGCCATCTGCGAGTGGCTGGCATTTCCAGCTCATTTATCCGTAGGATCTACTTTTGGGTCGTTGACAAAGATGTATTCTTCCCTCCTAGCTATGGCGGTGGGAATGACGCTTTTTCTATGATGCAACGGGAATTCATCTTCTCGGCGGGCGTTAAGCTTTCAGTCCTAGACTCCGCTTTGCGCCCAAAACGGTTGCCGATTCCTTCTTTCCACGACACAGCTCTGCAATGATTCATAAATATATAGTCTCAGAGTCAACTGTGGGGCTTCAGTTCACAAAGCCCTGTCACGCCACGATGTTGCGCTCCATCGAAAGCTTCGCCTGCTTAAGTTTTCTCAATTCTGCCGTAGCCTGTTCCGTTGCCGATCTGTGAATAAACGTAAATCGCAGTTTGCGACCACCATCACCTCTGGAGGTTTGGCAAACATGGATTCGAACGGTTTCGCTGTGGTTAAATTTGTAGCTGGATAATATGGCTTTACTTCGTTTCTTCCACTGTGATGAGGCGCCCAAGTATTTTTGCCCCCACACCGGAGGGCCGATCCTGAGGGCATATTGCTGACAAATATTGTTGAAAGTATGTCAAGAGATTTTTTCCCGCTAAAGTGCCGTCATAACTAGTCAGTTCATATGCAGCAAGCCGCTCATCTGTGGGGGTGAAGTTTCTGCTTGCACCTGCCTCCCTGAAATGTGTAGTGCTAAAATGTGTAAGAAGTGTTGTGGAGCATAACAGGCGACTGCCGTGAGCTGCAACAATCAAAACACTTGTAGGAGTTCACAAAAAAAAAGTTGACCTATCCTTCTGTATCCAGACGTCTTGGCTGTAGCCCAATGGTGTGGAGCTGATGTGGGGTGAAACCGGCCTGTCAAAAGCTGCAACCTTGCTGAAGCTCGTGCTACAAGCAAACCGAGCAGGCGCCTGTATCAAGGCCCAGCTTATATGCGTAATTTATTCGTGCGGGCAATTGGAAAGCACTTACTCAGCCTTTAGTTTACACACGCAGATATACAAGCTCCAGACTAACAGTGACCCACCCGCAATGAGGATGCATATATCTACCTATACCGAGGCGCCCTGCTAGAGCTGCACGAAGCGCTTCACAATTGCCTACCTTATCAGCTCATGCATCAGAAGGAAGCTTGCGAACTCGTAAACAGGGTTAGCCTCGTAGCACGAGTTCCAGCAAGGTGCACTGCAAGTCAGGTCAAGCCGCCTCATCTCGGCACCTTTCTGCCAATGCATCCTGGATGCGTGTGGATTGGAAGGAAGTTAGCTGCTTCGAACAGCTCTTACTAAGTATTTTGTTTCCTTCCTAGTTCACGGGGGTTCTCGACCAAAGTCGAGGATACTCGTTACACCANTACTAAGTATTTTGTTTCCTTCCTAGTTCACGGGGGTTCTCGACCAAAGTCGAGGATACTCGTTACACCATTCCCCCCCGACTCGTGTGCTTGGAGCCAGCATCAGGCACTTCCTGCTGCTTTTGACCATAATTTAATATAAAATACTACTTTGAACTGTAAAAGGAGAAAAACCAAAGAAGTCAGCGGTTTCGATCCCCCCGTCGCGCGCGCCCAGGCGATGCAGGGGCGCGGCCCGGGGGGAGCAGGGGCAAGGGGATGGTGGGCTGTAGTGCGGCAACCAATATCCTTGTTTTCAGTTGGAATACTTGAATTAAAGTGAATAATCGTGAAAAAAAACACAATTAGCTGAGTGGGTGAGTTGCAGGCAGCTAAGGTGTATGTACACCTGGAGGACGTCTGTTGCCGAGCAGCTCAGACGTCGGGACCCCCACAGCAAACAGAAGTATCTTCTTATGTGATGGCATTTCCCCGCGTTTTTCTTCTTCAAGTGTATTTTGCAATGCGTCTGTGTTTTCGTTTTCATTTAATGCAGTTAGGTGCCTCTCATCTCCCGAGCGCCGTCTCTCCTTCCCCGAGCACACCTCGCCATCGAAGGCGGTAGAAGCAGCAGCACAACCACAACAGCAGAGGCAACACCGCAGCAGCAGCAACAGCATCAAGCTGTCCCCCACTCCGTCACTCTTGCTCACCCCCTCATAAGACAGACACTCACGACGCTTCTCCTCCACCCGCCCCTGCCCCTTAGATACGACCGCCAAGGGCCCCCGGGCTCTACAACCGCTAAAAAAACCAGCAGTGATCATCATCATCAGCAGCAACGACAGCAGCATCAGTGGCAGCAGGAGCAGCAACAGCAACAGCTTCTGCTGCAGTTTTATCATTTCGGCCCTCCCCGCAGATTTCCTCTCTTTACACAACCCGAACTTCTGACTGCTTTCCCTGCACTTGCAGGGCCCTCACAAGCAGCAGGACTATAGGCTAGAGCAGCAAAAATAGTAGTAATAGTAGTAGTAGCAGTAATCGCAGCAACAGACCCAGCAGCAATCGCAGTACTAGCAGTAGCAGCAGCACCGGCGACGCCAAGAGTAACCCCATTCAGGAGTAGCAGCTGCAGCCTTTGCTGCAGCAGCAGCAGCAGCAATCGATGGCTCATTAACAATTCATATTCTGCTGAAGTGCGGCCGCAAGATGAAGGGGCCAACGCTAGCGGTTGTTGCCGCTGCTCCTCCCGAGGCAAAGGGAGGACACGAGCAGCAGACCCCCCACAAAGACCACCTGCTGCTGCTGCAGCAGCCGCAGCAGCGGCAGCAAGCGACTGAGCATGAGCAAGGCGAAGCCCAGGTTGATAAGCGGCACCAGGATGAGCAGCAGCTGCAGCAGCAGCTGCAGCAGCAGCAGCAGCAGCAACAGCAATCGCAGCAGCAAAGCTCGAAGACCGTCTTCTCTCTAAAGAAGCCCACCCTCCTCCCCAAATCTCTGCATTACCGGCCCCAGACACANCGAAGACCGTCTTCTCTCTAAAGAAGCCCACCCTCCTCCCCAAATCTCTGCATTACCGGCCCCAGACACAGGTCAGGCCGCTAGTGCTGCTGCTGCTGCTGCTGCTGCTGCTGCTGCTGCTGTTGCTGCTGTTGTCTGCGTTGCTAGTAGTGTTGGCACACCACCGAGGGCTGCTGCTACTCCGATGCGTCTGCAACAAGCAGGAGACGTTGCTGCAGCAAGACGGGAGCAAGCAGATGCTGCTGCTGGCTCCCTGCTTGCTGCTGCTGGTCCCCAGTACATTGGCTGAAGGCTCTGTCGTGTTTGTTTGTGTGGGGTGTATGTACACCGCAGGAGTGGAGAGTTAAGTACCGCTGTGGGGGTGCAGTCCACTGCAAGACCTTCTCCGCACAGGTACTGTTGTTTATCTTTATCTGCTTTTCGGTTTGTTTGTTTTTTTTTTCTATTTGGCTGATATTTGTTTCTTCTGTTTGTCTATTTGTTTGTTATGTTTGTTTGTGTGTGTTTGTTTTTGTTTCTTTTGTTTCTTTTGTTTTTGTTTGTTGCTGCGCCTTCACTCCCCCCCTTCTCTTGCTGTCTTTAGCTCTTCCTTTCTGTCTTCGTTTCTCCTAGTTGTCGCTGCTTTGCATCTACATTTCCTGCTGTTGCTGCTGTTGCTGCTGTTGCTGTTGCTGCTGTTGCTGCTGCTGCTGCAGACGTTTGGGGCTGAGATTGCGCATGCGTTGGCTCTCTGGTATCGACAAAGAGTCTCTTCAGAGGGGGTGGTTCCCTCACAGGCGCAGATTGAGGTGTATGCGGCGATGCTGGCTGCAGCAAACGCAGACGGAGAGTCTTCGTCAGCAGCTGCAGCAGCTGCAGCAGCACCAGCAGCACCAGCAACAGCAGCAACAACAGCAGCAACAACAACTGCTGCTTCTGTAGATGCAGCAGCAGACGCGCCTGCTTCTCCTGCCGCCGAGGAAATGAAAGAAAGAGTCACGAAAGGAGGCTCTGCAGCTCCGCAGGCCCCTACAACGCTGTCTTCTGCTGTCGTTGCTGCTGCTGCTGCTGCCGCCGCAGCAACGGCCAGTTCAGCAGCAGCAGCCGCAGCAGCCACGCCGGTACTGAAGGCAGCAGCCCCCAATTTGAATATGTGCGGGGCAAGCCTCGAGTTGGGGCCGCCCCTTCTAAAGAGGGGGCGGGAGCAGCAGCAGCAGCAGCAGCAGCAGCAGCAGCAAAAGGGGCAAACAAAAGGCAGCCCGCAGCAGCAATGCCAAAAACCAGCAACTGCTGCCGCAGCAGCAGCAACTGCCACTGATTCTCCCCCGTGTGCTACTGCAGGCCCCGCGGCTTCCGTGCCTCAGTCAGACGTTGCTGCGGCACCGACTGCCGGGGGCGCTGCAGCTGCAGCTGTACCCGCAGCAACAGGCGCAGCTGCAGCAGAAGGCCCCCCGTGCGCTGCAACTGCAGAACCAAAGCGTGGCTCAGCTTCTGCGCTGCCGCTCGCGCTGCTGTCGCCACTGCCGTCCGCTGACGACACGGAATGGCGGTGGCAATCGCAGCAGCAGAAAGAGCAACAGCAGCAGGAGGAACAGCAACAGGAAGCCGTGCATTCAGCAGCAGCAGCAGCAGCAGCAAAGGGAGAACCTGCAACAGAAACAGCTGCAGCCGCATCCCAGTCGTCTGGTACTCAGGATGAGCAGCAGGAGCAAGATTCATCGCAGCAAGAACAGCAGCCAGAAGTGCAGCAGGAGCAGCAGCAGGAGCAGCAGCAAGAGCAGCAGCAGCAGCGACGGGTGCTGCTGCGGCGCAGCAGCAGACCTCCCCGTCGGTCTTCACCGGCTGCAGTTGCTGTCCAAGGCCCCAACAGTCCCCGCATACACACAGGAAACAACAACGCCTCCTTCCATGCAGACAAACAGGTCAGTTTGCTGCTGCTGCTGCTGCTGCTGCTGCTGCTGCTGCTGCTGTCTGTATTGACGTGTTGCTGCTGCTGTTTGCGTAGTTAGGCGGGTTTTGGCGTCTGTTGATGTGCTCGTTTCGGCGTCTGTGATATTACATTTGAGGGTTTCTTGCAGTGTAGGGTTTAGGGTTTAGGGTTTAGAGTCTAGGGTTTACGGTGTAGGGTGTGTTGTCGCTGCAGGAGTGGCGAGCTCGCTTCTATGTTGGGCCCAAACGATGCATGCGAACATTCAGCGCCAAACTCTACGGCTTTGAGAAGGCCAGAGAAAGAGCACATGCTTTCATCAGATACATTCAAGTAGGGTTTAGGGTTTAGGGTTTAGGGTTTAGGGTTTCGGGTTTAGGGTTTAGGGTTTAGGGTTTATGGTTTGAAGGGGCCAGAGGAAGAGCATACATGTTTTCATCCGATACATTAAAATAGGGTTTAGGGTTTACGTGGATTTGTTATTTGTGTTTCTCGTTGCTGCAGCTGCACGGACGGCTGCCGACAGCCTGGGGCCGTCGAGGCGAAGGTGTGGAGGGGGAGCAGCTACAGCAGCAGCAGCAGCAGCAGCAGCAGC